CTATATCTGTCTCTCGATAGTTGATTTGTCTATTGTCGTGTCTTGTCACGATGTTCAACACCAACTTTGGTAACATCTGCCACTAATCCTGTAATTCATCTTCTTCTTCACTTTTTGGTCTATGTCATCTTCTCCACCTGTTGCCTGTTGTTGAATAGAATCTGTTCATATTACTTGAATATTTGACTCATTAACAAATTCATATCAAAGTCTATACTAACCTTGTCCAATTCCCCTATTGTTATTCATCTTTAGTTTATGATTGACTGGAAATACTTTCACTACAGTATAAGATTGATAGCCTTCCTTAAGGTTTGAATCTCCCAACCTGAGCTTGAAACAATGTCTGGTTGCACATTTCATGCAAACGTTTCGGGATGTTCTTGGGTCATTCTCTTGTTTGTTCAGCAATTGAGAGCAGGACAATCCAATCAATTTCGGGCTATTAATCAAACAATAAAAAAGTTGTTTCTGCACTTTCATTTCTATCTTGTAACTTTGTAACATTAACAATAATTCCATTAACAATTGGATTGTATTTACAATTCAGTAAGGGGAAAAAAAATATACATACCTCATATGAGGGAATTTCGATTCTTTTCTGCATTTTTTGACAATACAAATTCTCTAGGATCTTTTCTTGCAAAAATTGCAAGACAAATCACCAACCAAATCTAGAATCAGCTTCACTTAGCGTAGCCTTTATTGTGAAATCAGTGACCTTTTCAAATGAATTTTTTGTTGGAGTTTCGACTACTTCAGCATTAATGGGTAACGGAGACGCACTCGGGGGTCCCGCTGACTGGTCAGCGGGCGGGGGTCGCGGGGGCAGCGCCCCGAGCCCGTAGGCGGTTTTGGCTTTTCCATGTAATACCGCTGTAGGATTCCTTTTAAGTTATTAATTTCTTTTGGGTTGGGCTTAGAATAGGAATTCTTGTAAAACTAGGTTTAATCTCTTAAACCTAGTATATAAACACTTTCTCTTTTTATGTGTGTGAGAACAATTCATTCGTTGTAAACGAGAGAGGTGAGGCATATTGCAATAATATTGACTCAGCTGGACGTAGCCCACATTGGGTGAACCAGGGTAAATCGCGCGTATTACTTTCTTGGTTTACTGTTTGTTTGTTTAATTATTATTATTTTGTTCCTGTGCTTCTCTATTTCGTTCATTTTTTATATAAAAAATAAAGTGTAATGAACTATTCAAATGAATTTCTATATAAAAAATAAAGTTTGTAATAATCGTTTAATTACATATTAAATATTGACCTAATGATCATTGTTATACCACATCAGATCGGTAATATGCTTCAATGTCCTATATTCTGAAACATCTCCTTCTCTACCGGTACTTCATTGGAAATCCTTTTTTGCAATTGAACAACTGGCATTTTTGGTTTCTATAATAATAACATGCATAAGATATCAATCATAGACAACATTTAATATTATAAATACAATTTCTTGTAGGGATGCATGTCCTCAATATCGAGATATACATAAATTCTTGATGTCAAGTTGTATTAAGAAATATTACCCTGCATGTTACCAAAAAAAAAAAAATTATTCACAATATAATAATTTCTATAATATGTTTAAATTACCTTGAAACTCCTTCACATTTGTTGATGTAACAATCATAACAATAGTCTTCCATTTTTCATTTGCACAACTTTATTGATTTCATCATAGATTTTTCCCCACAAAGATATGTAATTGTTTCGCTGAAATTAATAACCATGCAGGTTATATCAATGGATAGTAGGATGTACCATATTGAAAAAAAAAAAAAAAAAAAAAAAACTTACTGTTCAATTTGCAATCTAATGTCTCTTTTATTACTCTTTATTGATACAATTGCTTGAGTTTCTCATATTTTATTTAGAATACCAATCACATCTGCATATCAATATTTATGTTAAATATAATAATAACTCATTTTTCATAGATTTGAAGTATCTATAAGTAAAACTAAACTATCATGTGATCTATTTTCAAGATCATGAGTACTAGCAAATTAAAATAAAACTTTGGAATGGCTACTCTTGGTTCTTTGATCTCCTTCAAAGATGTGGTCATCAGAAATTTTATACGATATGTGCCTTCCACATGTCTGTAAGAAGTAACACATCCCTTAACTCTTACATTTCTAATGAGATATATACAACCTTCATGAATCTGGCTTACAAACTTAGGAACCCTATTTTTTGGCATAGTTCCATGCATCACATTGCTCTGTAAAACCAATGGAAATGAAAAGCGTTAACAAATATGTGTAATTTATAAATAATAAAACTTTAACTAATATAAATCCGTTCATCCATCAAAACCATATCAATGCTAAACACGTCATTATTCATTTTAAAATTAATATATTCCCAACATCTTATTACTATGGCAATGTATCCAATCATCACGTGATTGGTTAAGCGAACAATAAGACATTGCAATGAATTGGTTGCAAGGGAAAAAGGACAATTATCAATAATGTATATATGGTACAACATCGTTTGACAACGGGGATTTTTACCATATAATAAAAAACTTCATGTTTCGATGTGTTGAGTTCCTGTGACATAAAAGCAAACATACTAATAATATTATGGTTCGATTGTTGAACCATAACTATATATTAATCATTATAGTTTGCTCCTATAAATTTTGTCTAACAACTCGCTATGGTTCGACATATAAACATTAACTTATTATATATGTAATTATAATGTCAACTGGATTTTTAATGAAAATAACAAATAAAAACAGGCATTACCTTTACAAGGATATATAAGCAGCAGCTTTGTTCTTCCAAAAATCGTATATACCTAACAAATTTGAGAAAAAGAGTTTATATCAATATAAACCAACATAATTAGGCTATTGAATGCCTGTAAACATACTAATGGTCCATTATGGTTTGGTTGTCAAACCATAAATTATAACATAAATCACTATACTTCGGCTGCTCATGATGCTCTTCAAGATTTGCCGTGTGGAGTTCCTGTGACATAATCACAAACATACTAACGATTTGTTATAATTCACTGCTGAACCACAACTTATAATATAATCATTAAAATGGAAAAAAAAGTATTAAAATAATCTAGAACTGGCAAGAACATCACATATACATATAAAAATTACAATATCGAATAACTTTACCTTCACCAATATATAAGTAATAGTAGCTTTTTTCCTTCCACAAATTGTATATACCTAAATGAAATTTTAGGGAAATGTAATTGTCATGAACATAAGTGACAAAAATAAAACAATAAAATGGCAAGAGCATGACATATAAGATATAAAAAATTATAAAATGGCAAGAGCATGACATATAAAGATATAAAAATTACAATATCGAATAACTATACCTTAGTTTCTTGCTCAGTTTCTTGCTACTATAATGTACCAAATTAAACAAATAATTACATATATATACTACATCCATCCAATTAAAGTATGCAACTCTTCACATTCTCATAAATATCTATAACTGTTTATATTAAAGAGCAACACATAACACATACAATAACAAAATAAAAACTTATCAAACCATTCATATTCACAAACCCCTAAATTCACATAAATGCATTGTAAATAACATACAACGTATAAACCCCTTACATTCACATAAATTAATAAACAAACAACAAACAACAATCAATAATGTTTGTGTATAAGGTTATGTAAAGTAATGACAATATTTTTGTCAATGTGAAACAAACAACAATCAATAAGGTTATTAATATTTTGTTAATAACAAACATATCAAACACCGTGAAGCACATATACCTTAAAATCCAATTTATCAATCTATGCCACATCATCACCAATAACATCTAGCCAAATGTCAAGAATCCACATCATCACCAACAAATGCAGTCATGTGTTGGGTAATCTGTACACATGGCAAAATAAGAATTCTAGCTCTTCAAAATGACAATCATAAAGTCTATGCCTCAGGATTATATATATATATATAATAGCCGGGTCCAACTCAAAAATCGGTTGTACCTTTTTGAAGCCCGAGATGGATTATTGGGCCCGAGATATTGAGATAAATGAAGTAGCAACATGTTAACCACCATATTCATTTATTAAATTTGGGCTTTTCAAATACCAAAAATGGGCCTACTGGGTTTCCCATCACGTGTACAGCTAATGTCTCACCCTCATTTTTTTATTTTAAGATTAAAATAAATAAATGGAAACATCAATTTTTGGTTATGAGAAAACATCAATATGTTGTTTGAAAGTAATGAAAATGATAAAATAATATACAATAGTACTATTAAATGGCTCCTTCATGGCATGTATTTAAACCAAATAAAATGAAAAGTAATAAATTGATTCATAACAAAAATTTATTTACCATTAGAAATTAGAAAATATTATAAATTAATGATACTGTGTAATATTTAAATTAATAATAGGAAGTTTTTGTTATTTTAAAGCTCAAATTTTTGCATCAACTCAATTTTTCCAATTGTAAAAAGGAGTTTAAAAATAGAATAATTTTATCTAAAACAAAGAAATTGTTAAAATTAGAAATAAAAAAAAGTGAATAATAAGTAAGGTAACGAAAATAAAATGGGACCCAAACAATTGCATGAACGATACGTGTAATGTAATGGAAGATGGATGTTAAAGACATGAGAGCCAAGCAAAGCAAAGATAGACCCACTAACACACATCACAACACAGCGGCATAATAACTATTTCATCGCTAAAGTTTTATTTTTACCCCTTTAATCCAACAAAACATTTTCATCCCATTATTAGCAAATTTTAGGGGTTAAAAAGTCAGTTAAAATTACAATTATATGGGATATACTTAAGCAAACTTTAGGGACTTCTTTGTAATTTTTTGCAATCAACTCATGAAACTACGTCATCATCGTTTATATTTCATCACAAAACAAAATCTTGTTTTCAAAACCAAATAAAAAACAACAAAAACATAAATTTAAATTTGGATTAAATAAAAATATTTCCATTTCTTTCTCTTTCTCATTCTCATTCTCTCTCTCTCTCTCAATCATCCATGTATCACCTGCGTTTCTTCTTGTCCTCTTCTCTTTTTTATTATCTCTTCTTCCCTTCCCTTTCCCTGCAAACAAACAAAAATCTAAGTAACTGAAACACACCACCAACACCCACAACAAAAGAGAGAGAGAGGACCAACCCAACCCCAAAGTCAAGAAGAATCATAATCCAAATTAATTAATGCCTCATTGATTTCTGATTCTCTACACAAGTACTCTTCTTCTTCACCATCATTTTTATCTCATTCTTTGGTTTCATCGATCCTCTCTCTCTCAGGTGCTTCTCTTAATATTTTCTATTTTCTTTTTATATTGTTTTTTTCCCCTTTGTGTGATCTCTGATTGCTTTTGATTATTTTGTTATCATTTCAAAATACTGTTTATGGGTTTCTTTCTTTATTTGTTTTTTCTTGATTTTTACTTTTACTTTTGTGCAATTGTCAGGGATCGAGTTGACCCCTGTTGGGTTTTCTTCTCTTTCTTGTATTTGTTAGTTTTTGTCTACTAATTTGGGATGGGTTTCGTCGTTACCGATCCATTTGATTTTAAATTGCGTATTTATTTCTGGATTAATTTAATAATTTGGTGAATTGGGTCATTCTTGTTTTTTAATACTTTGTTAGTAGAACCACTGGTTTTGGCGATTTCTTCCAAACGTGTTTGTTATAAGTTAGTTTTGTGGATGTTTTAATGTGTTAAAGTTTTATGCTTGACAATGCTGGTTCTTAATTTTGCATATTTTGATGATTAATGTCCCTGCTTTTCATTGTGATTTTGGATTCCTGTCAATTTTTTACCTTTAATATGGTTATTGCTGCCGGGCATTTGCCATTAAAGGACAGATATTCGTTGTTTAGATACTTTTAACTTGCATATTTGTCAGTGAAGCTGGTATTTAGCATAATGACCTTTGTTTTTCAAAAAAATTAAAAATTACATTTTAATAATTTGATGTAGACAAGTACGTTGTATTATTTATGTTTTATAAGTGATTGCAGATAATTTTTTCTTATAGTTGTAGTTTGAGAATTGTGCTGAAAAGAACATTGTAAGGGAATTAAGTGGTTAAGACTTGAGAGTGTAGCATCCTGGAACTTGTGCAAATTTGTGGCCCAGTCATGGAATGTCTTGTGTACGGCCTCTAGTTCTGGTGTGGTAGATTTTATTAAACCGTAATAACTTTTATAGTAAAATTTGAGCCAAAAGAGTGGTATATAATAGGAGTATAGGGCTAAATGCCATTAATGTGCCCTTGAAAATCAAGGGTTTCGAACGAATTCCCATTGGACTGTAGGAATAGCATGAAAAAGGTATGTATAGCGACTTGGAATTTGGTATAGTGAACTTTGCAGCGAAAACTATGAATAGTTATGAATGTTTTTGATAGAAATGTTAACATGTGAGCAACAACTAATAGTGTGATAATTGGAAACCAAATAGGGTGCAAATATGTAGAAAAGCTCATTATCTGAATTATTTTAAAGAGTAATTGTGTTTCTAGTTTGTTATTAATTATTTTTCCGAACCATTATTGGAATAGTTTGAAGTTCTGACGATTCTCGCTTATGATTCCTTTTAGAAACTTGATCTAAAGTAGGGGAATCATTAAATTCATTTTTTTGCTTAATATGCTATTAAACTGTGGTTATAAATGGTTTGGCATTTAAGCACTGGTTCTTTGTTTGGAATCTATATTAGGACTCATCACTTTTATCATAATGTAATAGAAAGAAAAAAAAAAGAATGAATATGATGATGACTGCTCCAATGCTTCATCAATAAACTATTCAGCTCAGCTATCAGTCTACTTCAATTTCGGTGGTTCTTAATGATAATTTGTGTGTCATGTAACTTAATTTCTTTGTATTGTGCACCTTCTGTTAATCATCAATATTCGTTGTCACCAAAGATGATTGTTTCTTTTGAACTTGCAGCTATCTGGCTAGGGTTTCCCATGGAACTAATGCAGAAAATGAACTTGGAAAATTTAACCCCATTCATTAAAGCAGGGCAGCATTTGAGCCTTACAACTATGATCGTAAGTGGGGAATAGATCCTGCAAGATGTTCCTTTAATTTATCTTCATTTTCCTTTTGGTTTAGACTATTCTTTTCTTTCTTAATTATATAATTATGGTAACTTTAATCTCTAATTTTCTGTCTTTCAGCTACCATTTTGAGCTTATTATTATCCTTTCCTCTGTTGCTTGGATGAGAAGAGTATAAGTTGACCCACCATTTGTGTTCGAAATTGGGAATATCTTTTAGTATCTTATACATTTTTTTGGTGGGAATACATTGGCCCTGATGCAAGGGCAAGGGAGTACCATTGATTCCTTCCCTGAATCTGTTAATATTGATCAGGGTTCTGTTTCCAACAACACTGGTATGAATCAGCAAACTTCTTTGAATAACATGCTGAATCCTGTGGAAAGCCGGTTGTCAAATTATACAGTAGCTTCTGGTGTTGGATCTTGTGTAAATGCTGTTACAAATGATGTTCAGAGCTTTAGTGGCTGGAATTCAGGTGAGCCTAGCTCTAGGTTGAGTTCACAAAACCAGAGGAATGATGATGGAATGAAAATGGAACACAGTTGGTCTTCTTCATATACTGCTCGTAATGGGGTTGGTCCAAGGTCAGATGAAAGGAGATTTGAACCAACTAGCACTCTTTTTCCTGGGAGGCGTAGTATTGGCCATAGTGGCAATCAGGTCAGAAGTGGGCCTTTATTTTCTCGAGGCTCCAGCTCTAATAATGTTCCACAAAATGTCAACCTAAGTGCAGGGTATGCTGACAACAGTGTTAATGGTGGACCGGGTATGGGAGCTGCTGGAGGCCTTGATCTCTGTATTTCAGGTGGACTGGAAACAGAGCAGGCATATTCTGCTAGTGCTGCTTCTGATAATGTTGGGAACTCATCTGGAAGCTCTGGTTTTATGGAGGAAAACAGTGGTGGCTCAGGTTCTTCTTTAGGTGGTTGGGGTTTGTCCTGCAAGAGAAAAGCTCTTGAAGGTACCTCTGGACAGTCTTGCTCAGCTGGAAGTTCAAGTTGCTTTCCTCAAGCTGAAAATGCTGTTTGGCCTGCTGGCCCTACTCGTTATGATGCCTCTAGTAGCTTAAGTTTGTCTCCACCTTCACAGAATTCTCCTATTGTTTGTCCTTCTGAACAGCCAAACCCTAGATTTGGGTTTCCTTCTTCAGGTATCACAGGAAATACAGAAAGTCGCCTAAGAAATTTTGGTAGAAGAGTAGATACAGGAAACCTACAGGATTCTCTGCCATTCAATTTTTCATCGACAGGGAGTACTGGGCGTTCAACTGCTGCTCCCCCCCAACTGTCACCTTTACCTCTCCCATTTAGTGATTCATTGGACCTGCGATCGACAGCAGCTTTAGCTTCGAATACAATTACTGTCCAGAACCAGCCTCCTGCTATGCATGTTACTGCTTTGTCAAGAAATGTACATTCTTTCCCTTGGAATGGGGCTTCCAGTTCAAGAGCTGGAAATTTATCAAGTTCTATCATCTCTGGAGAGAGAGGTGCTGCCTTGCGAGAGGAAGCAAACTTAAGAAGCATCCCGAGAAATAATACAGAGCATCCCATGTTTTTACCCTCAGCTGAAATAAGAACTATGGTGCAGGATCCAACAAGTTGGAGTTTGGGCACTGGAAGCTCTTCTGGAGGTGTTTCTTCAACCACACGAACTGGATCCAGTTCAAGCATCCATCCTTTGCCTGCTCCTGCCTGGATTCCCCATAACCCTACAACACATAGTCATCAAAGATTAACAGAATTTGCACCATGGTCTTTATTTCCATCTTCTGACTCTGAATCTGGAGTTCGTAGTGGTCATTTTCCTCCATTATCTGCTGGGCTGTCATCTTCACAGGAGATGCCGTCTGGCTCTAATAGCCAGGTTTATCCCCAATCACTAAGAAGGTCGTCGTTACTGGCTGAGAGACAAGGTGACGATGTTCTCGGTATGCCCCGTTCTTTACAAGCTTTAGCTGCCGACATTGAAGGAAGACACCGGCTTATATCTGAGGTTTGTTCTATTTTTCCTCTTCTTGTCAACTTTGCTGTCTGCATATTTGTTCCTACAGAGCTTCAGTATATTTTATACAATTACTTTATTTGGTATAGGTGTGAATAATTTTTATAGTTGTTCTGGTGTTGTACATTTGAGTACTTTTGGAGTCTAACTTCTTGTAGAGATTGTAGTTCCTTCCCTTGTTGTTGATTGTGCTATCATCATTCTCCTTACTTTTGTAATCTTGTCTTCATAAGTATTTATGTTTTTCATAGGAACATTACTTATGCAGTGGTTGAAAAATAATCTCTACAAGAAGTTAAGACTCCAAAAGTACTCTAAGATTCAAAGAGTCTGAGTTCTTGTGGAGATTGAAGATGGTAGTATATTGCCTTTCTTTAAGAACACTTACTGGACTTGAAAAAAAATGGTGAAGATGGTAGTATTTTCTATGGTGGCCTGATTCAAAACCCCCAAATGAATGATCTTATGTGGTTTTGAGTTCTTGTGTCTAATTGTTTATGGAGGACTTTTGCGTGTTTGGGGGTGGTAGGAAGGCACTAGTTCTATGAATTTTTGTGTGATGGTCATTTCTTGGATGATTTTTGTTGAAGATGGACAGGATGGCTTTGAAGAAGTGAGGGAGGTAGATGATGGGTTTTAATGGGATGAGGTTCAATTAATTCAAAGTGATCACATATATATATGTATATATATTTTTTTTTTTTTTAAAGTAGAAATTTTGGCAACAATTCTTAGATTTTTTTTTCATTTTTCTGTTGTGTTTTCCTGGGCTGCTGGTTTACTTGCTTGTAATCAATAAAGTTCTGTTTCCTATTTGAAAAGACAATAACTTTAAAAAAAAGTAAAACATCAACAACACTTGTCATTAACATGATAGAAGTGTTTCTTCTAGCGAATTATATTCACCAAATATTTAAAAAAGATAGTATCAACAAAAACATGAAATATTTGATAAGAATATTTATGGCTACATTGGAGGTATGGGACGTCATTTTCAACCATGACATGTTTCAAATGCTTGAAGGTCTTGTTGATTGAAAGTTTGCCAAATGGTTATGAAACATGGCATATCAAGGGAATTCAAGTTTTGCATCTTTTTTATGTGAAGATTGATTGTCATTTTCAGCCATGACTTCAAGGCTTGAAGGTTTTGTTGACTAACATTGATTTAAAAAGATTCTTCTTGTTAAAGGATGATAATAACATGGGACATAGAGTCTTGTTCCAAGATATGAAGGAAAAAAACGAAGGTGTACTTTGAGGAAGGAAATGAATTGATGAAGTTACCTGTAATAATTAGTTGCTATAAGCGTTAGTAGTTAGTGAGTTTGTAGCCTCATGATCGTAAGTTTTCATGAGCATTGGTGATTTGATTTTATGAAAAATCCATGAGTGACTTTACGAATTGTAGCCTGACTAAACTCTTCACTTGAACTATCGGAAGTTGTATCAGTTTTTGGAAACTTGATAATTGACCCAACAAACAATACCTAGAGGTACACCTTTAAAAGTTGGTGGAGAGACGTTTTTGTACATTTGGTGAAGCCCTAGCCAAAACTCTTTAACTATAAAGAAAAAGAGAAGGAGGAGAAATGGACTAAAGGGCGCAATTAGATATTAGTGACCTTGTTTCCTTGGCAGTTCAAAGCAATCAATGAACCTGATTCTGTTTTGGGAGAGAAGTAGTATACTGGGTGTTATATAAAGTTTGAAACTTATATAAGGCTTTAAAATGGATAAGTTCCTTTACTTTTCCTGATAATTGCTTAGTTGACTGATTCTATGATTAGATTGGGTAGTTTGAATTATTTGAAGAAATTTGCATTCTTTTAGTCATAAGAACCGTTCTAAGGTTACTGGAAGTCATAGGTATTGTTGGTTGAAGGTCTAACTATCTCTTCATGCTTGGTAGCTAAACAATTTCTTAGTTTGGTTTTGTCAAACATATGTGGAGAATTTATTTGAATTGTGGAAATGGAGATATCATTTCTAATGCTGTATATGTAAAAGAAAAAAGATTTCTATGTATTTCTGGAGGCCTCCTAAAGGTTCCAATAATAAAACGCTATAGGAAAGTTCTTGAGTGCTTGTCATTGAAAACTTGCCTCACCCATGCTTACCTTAATGTAACTTGATTTTGTGAATATGATACTATGTTATCCTTAATTTGTCTACTATTAAGACATTGGGTAATTATATTCTTTTATTTGTAATCATCCTTGATATTGCAATGGTTAACTATGATTTATAGATTTGGAACAAATTCATGTACTTCAAAAATAACTGTAATTGTAGGCCTAATTATGCCCTCTATAAATTTAGTTTTGCATTTTAGAATTAAAGATAGGGTAATTCCTGAAGACTGTTCCTATTCAACCCAGATTTATGCTTAGATCAAAGCACCTTTTGAAAAGGATGACCAGAATGTGATTTTCTTTTTTGGTCATCAAAATGAATACTGAAAATGAGCTTAGATGTAGAGAATACAGTTGCCCCATTTCGGTCTTTAGGAAAAAACTTATGAAATTAATTCATGCAAGAAAAATAGCTTTTCATAGAGACCTCAAATGATGCGTGCACCAACTATAGCATGTCAAGCATGAAATTAGAGACCTCAAATGGCTTTTCTATTAGCAGGATTGATGCAGCTTGGAATTTAAATCATATAATATAATACAAACTTGGTTTGTATATTAGTCAAGATAGATTTAGTGTGAAGCATCTTTTCTTGATTGCTATGGTTTGGTCTGTGTTGGCTTGATTAATGGTGTTTCACTCTTCTTTGGCACATGTCAAAGATCTTACTGCTGTTTGCTTTGGCATATGGCTGATATGTAGTGAGTATGATTTCCTGTTATTTAGTACTTAAAATCATTTTTCTCCAATAATTTTATTACAAGCATAAGCATTTCTACGCAAAATGACATTTGATCTATCTACTTAGGTTGGCTACTTGAATAGTCCTTAGAAAAAAAAAATGATGTCAACTGTATCCATCAGATAATTGCTTGCATGGTCGAGTTGAATGAAATCAATTGTTGCAATTATTGCACACTTGTACTTAATGATATGTCTTAGTTGGCTAATACTCATTTTGCTGTTAGCTGGCACAACTTGCTCTCTTTAACTGATCAGTAGGTTGAAACTAACTGGTTTGGTAAGTCTTAGGTGGCTGTTGCTTTGAGGGAAAAAAGATGATCTTATTATGAATGTGCTATGAGAATATAAATTTTTGCTTAGCTAATTATCCTCTTAATATACTCATTTAGGCTGCATTTTGAAGGATTTGTTTACGTCTCGAGCTTGATGATAAAGCTGACTAATTATAATGGTCAATTATTTCTTCATGTGATGCATTTAAAGGTGATCACCATGTGATGACTTCTAATATTATGCAAATATAGTTTTGCACTAAACAAGGCTTCAGTTGTATATAATGAACAAGAATGTAATTCTGGATGACCTACAGGTTTAACTACTACATTTTACTGTATTGCTTAAGCAATTAAACACCATCTGCTTGAAATTTTAACATATGCCTTTTTTTTTCTTTTTCGGTGTGTGTGTGTTAACCCATGAGCTCACTACTTAGTTTACCTTGTGTGAAGGAGGTACAATGTATCCATGCTTGAATTTGATATGAAACTAGGTGGTTGTAGGACTAATTCTGACTAGTCTATTTACTTATTTATTTGGTTTTTTCTTATTGAAAATAAATGTTTTGGAAAGAAGATTCTCTTCTAGAAATTAGAAGTTGTGGAATGTCAAAGATAATTGTAGGATTCTTGTAAGGATTATACCTACATATTGGTGAGGTAGTTCATAGATTGGAAGTGTAAATTGCAATAAATACAAAATTCCATAAGTTTTAATAAAGCATTTATTGATTCTGAATAAAAAGTTCCCTACCTTTCTTTTTCCAGTTGATGACTTTTTCTTTTTTTTTTTTTTTTTTTTTTTTTTTTTAATATTGTGTCTGTGGTATTTGTGCTTAAAATGTACAAACTTTAGACATTAACTTCTTAGTGCTGTTGAGAAAGTGTCTACATTATGCTTGTGTATTCTTGATTAGGGAATTTCATCACTCTTGTTAGTATCTATTTACTCTTTACATTATGTTGGTTTCTATTATAGTTGTTAGTTAGCCAATAAGTATTAGTCAAAGCATTCTAAGAACTTAACATTCATGTTATTCTTTGTGCAACAGATTCGTCAAGTTTTGAATGCAATGCGTCGAGGGGAGAACTTAAGGATTGAGGTTTGAATTTTATTTTATGATACATGTTTGATATTCTTTTGATTTTTGATTTTAGTTTTATGATACTTTTGACTGCTAGCATATGCTAAGTTTGACAGTCATTTCCCCCTATTATGTCACATAAAAGTACTTGTTCGTGGTGATGAAAGGTCGACCTCTACTGTACTTGACATTTCTTTAAAAAAAGAATCCTTGTTCACTCTAACCGCAGTGAAGTTGCCATGATAAAATTTGTTTTTCTTGTCAAAAAGAGGGGAAAACAGTCTGGTATTGTAGTTTTGGTTGCCATCAGATGGCATGATTTATCTTGAATTATAATTTCAGTAGCTGACATTCAAATCTGTCAAAAGTGATTCGCAGTGAAACATTCTAACTTGCATGAAGGTTGGTTGTCTATTTCTGTTTTTGTAAACATGTTGCACCGACAATTGCATATCATTCTCTTCCCATGCCTTCAATTCTGCTGCATGATATTAAAGTTTGGTCTGGATTCGTATTATTTTTTAGGCAACAGCCTATGTGCAAAGGTTTTTGGAGATTACTTTTTAATCTATCCATACTCTTATTTGGGAAATGTTTTGGGGGACATTCTAGGTTGGACTCCAGACAGGGGTCTTGACTATCTGTGTGTCGCTCATTTGTGGATCATGCTAGCATCAGGACTAGGTTTATATTCCTTTTCCCTTCTGATGCATGTTCACTTGTTCTTTTTAATGCATGTGACACATTTAATTCCTCCTCTGAATGTAAAATTCTTTTTAGGTTCTTTAGAGAAAATCAAATGTCTGCCCCCACATATGTAAAAAATAATGAGAATATTTAGCTTTTATACTCTTCTTAGTATAGTCTAGAAGATATCCATCACTTGGTCTTGGTCTAATGGAATTAAGCTGCAAGCAGACACTCAAGTGTGAATTTAACTGCTCTTCTGGGCAAGCACATAATCAGGAGATTTTCTAGCCGCTGTAGATGTAAAAATGCTTAGGAGTCAGGATTTTGCCTTTCAAATATTACATGATTGTGGATAACATTTGAACTTCATGGGGTGATGTGCCAGGATTATATGCTTTTTGACCCATTCATATACAATGGTCTGGCCGAAATGCATGACAGACACAGAGATATGCGCCTTGATGTCGATAACATGTCTTACGAGGTATGAAAGGGAAGTTATATATGCCTGTCAGTTATTTCACATTGAAGGTTTACTGCTTATACAAAGATTGGAATGATAGGAATTGTTGGCACTCGAAGAGCGCATAGGTGATGTGAGCACTGGACTGAGTGAGGAAACTATTTCGAAGTTAATGAAACAGAAAAAATACATGTCCATTGCAATAGAAGTCCCATCAGACCAGGAGCCATGCTGTATTTGTCAGGTATAAGCTGGGCAAAAGAAAACATATACTTTAAAAGCTTTCAGCTTACTTGTTACAGTTTACCTTACTTTATTATCTTGTCATGGGCAGGAGGAATATGCTGATGGGGATGATCTTGGGATGCTGGATTGCGGACATGACTTCCATAATAACTGCATAAAACAATGGCTAATGCAGAAAAACTTGTGTCCCATTTGCAAGACGACGGCTCTTCCTACATGAGAGAGTAGATCATTGTTCTTGGAGCCAAGAAATTTAGTTTCTTGGCAATGGAACGTAAATCGGATAATCAGGTGGCTGATATCCATTTTATACACTTTTTTTTTTTCATCCAAATCGAAACAAGGTTTTTCTTGCTTATGAACTGCGCTAGTTTATGAAGATGGAGCTGGTGTCTGTGTTATAAATTGCAGGATGAGTGAGGAAAGGATTACATTCAAAGCTTTATGACAATCATAAAAGTATTTGAACATTATAAATGACATTTAAGCTTGAAGAAGGATACAAGTAGTATTTTTGTTTCAGTTAAAGAGTGTTTTGTTGTTTGATCATTATTCATATCTCTGCGTTCAGGAGGGTTAGTTCAACTATATTTGGATGGAATCTTAATGGTGCATTCATAATCATATAACGATTCATACACTCTGAATAGCTAAATAGGAAATTCTTTTGAACAATTTGTAGATGTAATGAACCTAGTTTCTATTCATCCATTAAGATTATTAATTAAGGATAAGACTTAATTTTGGGTTTCATTTGTTTATTAAACAAATTACCATCATTTAATGCAATTAGTAACCAAGATACCAACTCACTTCTATTTTTATTTGGATTTTCTCCTCTCTTTGTCAACGAAAGAAATGTTTCTTTAAAGTATTAACAAATTATATTTATATTTGTAGATAATTAGTTTATAAAATTATAATTTAGATCAAATGGGCCTTGGTGCCGTGTAAATCAACCATTCTATTTATATAAGTGGGCTCTGGTCCGCCTAACATCTTTGGGCCAAATGCCCATGAAATTAGGCCATTTTTAAAACCCAAACTAATATTATGATATTATTATTTTAAGCAAAACTTGGGAGACCTAGGGCACTGTTATATTAAATACATAAACTGCTTACAAGGGAATAATAATAATAATAATAAGATGTGCCTCAGCCATGAAATAATCGCCTCACATTAAACGGTAGAAAAGTAAATAACTCTATCACACTATAGGTGATAAAATTAACACCTCATAAATGTTTATTCACTAAAGGAAGAACTTTTTGTGGCTGCTATTACCAGAATTATTTACTTGGGGTTATGGAAATGCTTGGTCTATAAGTGGAAAAGTAAATTTCAACCAAGAGATCAAAGAGCAACATGGCAAATAAGGTCACTGGGAGGCACCCGAGTAGCATTCTCTATTCTTCTCTATTATACATTTCTTTCTCATTCATGCACCAAATGCTACCATCATGCTTGCAATAGAAAAGAATAGTGTGATAAGGTCGATGATTAACTTCCTTGGCAATGACACTGAAAAATCGTCTTCTGAAAAACATTAGCATTGAAGCCATGGAAGAAAAGATTGCAAGTGCATCTGATATGACAAAGACTATGAAAACTATGTCATGCAAGAAAATGGGTATCTCATCATCGTTGTTGCCACCTAGTACGGTGAAAGTGCTGTAAAAACTACAATTTTTATCAATGTGGCTATGACACTGTATGATGCAGCAGTTCCATTTTTGGCAATTGATACACACCTGTTAGTAATCTTAATGGATGCGTCATCCTGAAATTATATTGGGAAAGAAATCCGGGAGTTTAGGATAATAGTCAATCTGAGATCATTTCTTTTCGGTACTTGTTGGTAATTAATACAATAAAAAAGTATACATATAAGATAGTTAATTTGATCATGAACTAATATTATTGATTAAGTTAATATGTATCCCATAAAACGCTTGAACGCAATTTGTAATCTAGAATCTCTTTTAGAACATACAAAAACCCTCCATACACTGCAAATAGCGTCGTCGTAGGCCGTGCTAGATGTATGATACAACTGGATTCCTAATTTCCCTTATTTATTTAGGATTTATTTTTAGTTTAGATTTTTCTTTCCTATATTAGTTTGTTCCTTTAAATTCATTGTAATACCTTATGACTCATTTATTTATAAATAATTGGAATTCTCTTTTCTGTTCTGAGATTGAGAGCTAGAAACACAGTCTTGTTAGGTTAACACATCAACACATTATATCATCTTTAAACAAAGAAGATTACTATTAATTAATTGAGGGTATTGAATTTTTTTTTTTTAAATTTAAAAAACCCTCTTATTTTATCATTAAACCCTAACCTATCTTTGGCTTGTGGTAATGAAAGACTGATATCAAAATTTATTATGTTTTAATATGATAAAATAATGTTTGATCAATCCAATTAAGTTAACAATTTTTTAAGAGAAAATCCCTTGGATAGAAGTTTGATTCTGTAAATTTCTGGAATTTAGTTTCAGGTTAAAATGGTAGAAAACATCTGGTCACTACACACAGAGAATTTGCGGAAATTTTAAATGAATTATCATCTTCCAAGTCTCATTCTTGGAACACAAATCAAACTTAAAAACATGCAAATGTAATAACAACACATTATAAAGTAAATTCAAATAAATTTGGGGAGGTGAGGAGGAGCTTGAAATTCAAGGAAGAGCGCTTGTTGTTGGAGATAATATAGATGATCTGCAAAAGGAACATGCAGCTGCAAATGATGAGATTTACAGATTAAGGGTGGAATTCCATTAACATCTTTAGGAGGAACAGACGGAGTGGTTGGTTTTGATTTGTAGAGGAGCAGAGGTAGAACATGAACTAGAATCGCTTCTGCGTCTGAAATCATTTGTTAGGGAATTGAGAGATGAAGTTGAAGAATTGAATTGTTCCCGCCCGGCAACAATTGACCACCCAAGTCATAGGCCTCACGCACAACATTACCCGATTGGAAGCTGAGAATAAGCGAGGTTTGAAATTAATTGGACTTTGTTTTTGATAAACTCTTCATTTCTGTTTTTGTTTGTCTACAGTCACTTCCATTTGTCTATTTCCTGATATCAATAGGAGAAGTTTGGAAAATGAGAAGAAGGCCAAAGAGGAGCTAGTTAACAAGAGTCCAATGATGGAGAAAAATTAAGGTCATTTCCATGGCTCCTGAGATGAAGAAACTACAAGCAGAAGATCAACATTCAGCAGCCTAGTGCAGAAAAGAGCTTGACGAGGATTTTGGATTCTTTTTCTGTTAGCACTAGCAGCATTAAATGAAGTATAGTTTCAAAGCTACAAAATAAATCCATGCTAGAACATATCTTCATATTTTTCTTTTAAGCAAGTGATGAGGTGTATTACATTTACCATCTTTTATAATATATGTGTCATTAAAGGTTCTATCTTTAATAATAAGACATTAATTATATAAAATTGGGCAATTCCTTTCTTTATATTCTTGTCTATAGCTAACAAATTATCATCGTTTAATTTAAGGAATATTAATTTTAGTAAATTATTAAAGAGCTAAAGAATATTAATTTAAGGAAAAGGGAATTATGAAAGAGGTAGTTTAGTAAATTATTTAATTACTTTAGTTTCCATATATATTAACTTTGATTCTGATAAGAAAAATCCAATAAAACTAGGCTAATTATAATATATGCTTTTTAAAGTATGTAATTGATTATAATAACTACATTTGTTAACATAAAATTTAAAACACTTTAATTAAGGTAACAAACATTAAATTTTCTCCCCATAAAATAAAAAATTCCACAATGCTCAACTACCAAAGATTTCTTACCTTATTTAGATAGATACATAATTTCGAAAATAAATTACTAAATATTTATATGTAATTACCATTTTTATAAATGGTTATTTAAATTACAAAGTATAGTTATATAACCGCTCCATCTAATCATGTTTTTCAAATAAACTAACAGTTACTATTTGTTTTCTCAACGATAACTATTATAATTATAACAGTCGTTATCATTAAGAGAATGCTCATTTTAAAAATTAGAAGAAAATCGACACAAGTTTCAATTTTTAACAATAAATAGACACATTTTTCTTTTTTTTTAATTATATCTCCAAAAAGGTATTTATTTATTGATAAATACAAATAAAACTTACGTCATTTCTTCTCAGGTTTTAATATAAGTGTTCTTCAATCAATGATAACATATATAATGTCCTTTTCTCATAGAATGGAAAAAGATTCATTAAAATTTAATTGACTACCTAATTTAGATGTTGTTGATGCGTGATTTTGACACCAACGAAATGCACGTGTGAAATATTGAGCTGACCCAGAAAACACACGTGAATGTAAAAGAAAATGACAGTAAATGCAATGGGGACAGTTTTTAAAGTGGTTTGGATGCTAAGGAAGCAAGTCCTACGTCCACTAATGTTTGTATTATTGATAAGGGTCAGGTCGCCTCAGCTGACTGACTTTACAATGGTAATACAAGGTATCTAATGTTGTCATTCTAGAGAGAGAGAGAGAGTAGCTGGTCAAGAGTAAAAATGTGTGAATTCCCTTTAATGAGAGAGGAGCTCTTAACTTATAGTGGGATGTATTTAGGTAATGATCACTGAATCTGCAAGTTGGTGGGATGATCCGTGCAAATCCTTCTTTATGTCACATTATCCATCTTCAAGAGTAATTCACGTGATTTGCTGTACGAATTGGACACACGTACATCCTCTAACCTTTCTTCAGTCTGGCACGTACCCACTGTACTGACAAGAGTATGTTGCCTGCATCATCACACGACACGGCTGTGCCAGAATGTCAGTAAACTCTTCCCGAGGTCTAACCTTTCGCACTTAACTAGGCGCCACATCAACCCTATTTTCCCAGGTATAACAGATGTTTTATTAGAGTAATATTTCTAACTCTAAGAAAAAGATTTGTTTTCGTATTTATGGCCTCATAAAAAGACAAAGAACATTTGTTTATATCTAAACATACCAATCATTTAAGAAAACAAAAATTACAGATTACGATATATAAAAATACAATACATTAAACCTGAATCGAAGATGATATTTTGTTAAGTTTATAACTCATCATTAACGTGGGGAACTTTTTAGAACAACAAAAGAAATCTTTGTAGCACGTAGTTAGCTAATATAGTGTTGATGCATGATTTTGACACCAACCAAACGCACGTGTGAAATGCTGAGTGGGCCCAGAAGACACAATTGAATGTGAGAATGAGAGTAAATGCAATGGAGAATAGCGTTTAAAGTGGTTCGGATGCTAAGGAAGCAAATCCTACATCCATTGATTTTATATTAATGATAGTGGTCAGGTCGCGTTTAGTGGACTGACTTACAAATGATTTATACAAGAGAGAGAATGCTATTTCTTTAGAGAGAGTAGCTAATCCTTAAATGAGAGAAGAGCTCTCAATTATAGTGGGATGGATTAAGGTTATCATTACTAAATCTGTGAGTTGGTGGGATTATCCA